TGATAATGATGATACACTTTAAAATGAAACAGACAGGAAAGAATGACAGCAAAGCCTCTTTACCTTCTCCAGCTGCATGTCCACAGCGGCAGCCTCTTTTAAATTAACAGGAAAAATGTGCGTTTTAAGATAGGAGAAAAATGCAATGTAAAGCCAATATAGGCTGCGTGAATTCACAAATTCAATTTCAAGAATGCTACAGTACCCAACAAGGTAGAAAGGTTTTAGGTTACAGAAGCACTGATCCAGTTTGGCCCTTGTGGTCATGTACACCTGTAGTATGTCGCAGCCCTATTTGGAACTCAAACCCAGACTGATGAGACAGACCTGCCCCTGTAAGAACACTCAAGCGCTAATAATAGAACCATGCTCTAAAGACACGATTACGTGCAACTGCACGGCCAATTTCCAGCCCAAAGAAACCCGAAACCCAATTAAACTCAAAACAGCAGGTTTCACACCCCGGAGTTGGTAAAACGCAGAGCACAAATAAAACAGTGAAAGTCTGTTGTACCACTAGCTGCTACCTACATAAATCTTAAACCCCAGTTTAATTCGATCTGGCCCTTGTATAGACTTGGCGCACCACAATTTGATTACCACAACTGTACTTTTTAACTGCTGTCAAAAACAACTGAGCCTTCTGTAAACATCTGCCGGAAGACATGCCTGCTTCCCATTAGCCCAGCCTTATATCAAACCAGAGCGATGAATCTTTATCTGACACTAATACTCCTTAACTTCATACATACAATTAAAATGAATTGCAGCTAAAAACCTACAGGACAAAACTACATTACACTGTCATCTCCGAACTTCCAGCTCGCCGTAGAAGGACGCTTTCAGAGAGCTTCCCATATCTGGAAGAGGCCTCTTCTGAGACGGCAAGAATACATTTGCACAGGAAACACTTTGAAGAGGATTCCCTTATTAAACGGACAGATAAATACATAAAAAAGCCATCGATTTTTAAGTGGGTGTTTATGAAAGTTTACAGCGATCCCCAGCCTTTTCAGTCTATAAAACTCATTTGATGCTTAATTGACTTCCATCTGAACCCTGATAATATGAGGAATTCCGCAGCAAAAAGAAAAACATTTGCTTAGATTCCCGACAGGTCGCCGCGTTTTTAAAAACGCAGTATCACCCAGAGCTGTACAGCCAGCCGGCCTTTGTACTTTCCAACAAATTCTTTCAAAAGCAGGAATAATTCATCGTGACATTTATTCGGCTCACTACTTTTTGTACTCGGCTCTTTTCCCTAAATCACGCAACGCCTTGCAGAGCCGGGCACAAGAGAGGGGAACTGCTGCTGAGAGCCTGGCTGCCGCCCCCCACGATAGCCGAGCTGCCACACGGCTGCAGAGCCTCAGGGCCGGGCTCACGGCACCTGAAGTCCGGTGTCGCGCCGGTGCTCCTGAATCGGGCAGAGCAGCGCCGCAGCTTTTCTCCTTCCGATGTCGGCGAGCTCCCGAAGCAGGGGCTACGATTCACAGGCATCGGGGGGGGAAACAAAACGGACGACCACCTTTTGGGCATCCATGTTTTCTAAACACAAATATCACCGGGGTACCCGAAACTGCCACGGAGATATCTCCTACATTCTGTACAACTCAAACTCACAGCTTCAAACGCTACTTGATTAACAAAAACAACAGCAGCAAGCAATATGGATAAGGGCAATAATAATAATAATAATAATAATAATAAGCTCATTATGAAAGCTCGCTGTGCTTTCTAAGGAATGCGCATCCATGACAAAGCGCAGCCGGAAATTCCACAGATGGAAAAAGCATCTTCAATTATTCCGGCTCCCATAAAAGATGTTCTGAAGACGCACATGGTTCCAACACATCCATCCTCATATCAAGTAATTACGCTGCCACGAACAGCCTCCATATGCAGGAAGAGGAGTTAAGGCATGCAGCATCCCAAAATGCTGCTGAAAGCGATTATCCAGTAAGTGTTAATTGCCACTGCATTCATATTAATTTTGACTGCAGGTCTGATATAGCTCAATATTTCCCCAGACAACATTTTAAAACAAAGTTTAATTTAAGGAACTGCTTCTTTCAACACTTATGAAAATTAACAACTAAGCAATTAGCACTCAATAAGTCCCCTCGCCCCCCCCCAACCTTTCAAACAGCCAGTCCTATTACAGCCTCCTCATTACAACTGTGCCTGAGCTACTGAGAACCGGAAGAACACACAAAAATCTGTTACATGTCACAGTTTTCTTGGCAGCAGTGACATCAATGTATTTCTAACCCTTTAGGCCAAAGCAGCCAACTAGATGCATAGTAGAAGCTGTTTGTCTTTTGCTCTCCTTTTTCATTAAGGATCCTTTCGGTTAACTATTGAATCAGCATGATGTTTTGAAGACAAATCTCTGTCATGCTAACTACTGAATAAACAAGTTACATCCCACCAAAAACATTACCTTCTGAAGAGTAACTCATATCTTTGTATGCACAACTGTCTTAAGTTCAGTTCTGTGGATTGAGCTCACAAAGGACTAATCCTTCAGGTGGCGTATTGGTGAAATTCCTTTCTCATCATGAACGCCTTGCCCACTCCTGCATGTTTCATGAATTCTGAACAAAGAACGAATTATTCTTGAGCAGTTCATAAAAAGTATGAACAACTTCCAGGTTTTTAACACCCTAAAATTAGGTAAGCAATTCAAACAAAATTGTTTCTGCTTATTCAGACAACAGGAAGGTACGGTTCTGCAGAACTAATCATTTACATATTTCTGTGTCATGAATAACTGAGGTCCAGAAAATAAAAAAATTAAAAGACTGAGAACAGGCAACAAAACGCAGATGTAAGTAACGATTAGGAAAAAAATGTTGGCTCATAATCCTAAAACTTACAACGGCCTTCATGCTTATTTCCTTTAATTAAAAAAACATGGCTTTCAGGCATTTAAAAACATTTTTACACAGGCGCTGCAGAAATAACTCAAGTCTGTCGATTCCACCGGTTTAGAGGGTCCAGCTAAAACCTCAACACTTGACCCAGACTGACCATCCATCGGAGGGGTGAGAGGTGAAAGGTGAACCCTTGTGACCTGTGACCTCTCCATGGCAGGCCACAGACACCGACACCCCCTGACCCCTGTGAGTCGGGCCAGTGCCCGTGAGATCCAGCACCCTCGCCTGTCCCACCCTACCGGACAGCGAGAGTGTCCCGAGGGGGCAAGACAGAAGCGTCTTACCGCTCACAGACACGAGACACAGCAGGTAAATTACAGGGAGCCGAGCCTCAGCGGTGAAATTGCATGTGTGAGGTCAGGTCACCAGTTCAAGACTAATCCGCTGCCTGCCCTATAACACTTGCCCGTTCGGTGTCCGTGTTGAATTCAGACAGAACCCTCGTTATTTTTCCACTGCATGCTGCCGTTTCTAAACCTCCCTGATTATCCTCCCTTTTACTGGGAAAAGGAAAAGGTCTTCTCTGTGAATCTTTCCGCATTTTCTTCCAGGGGACAAAAATCCCTAAAAATAATAAAATTCCCTGAAAGACCACAGAGCACACAGCAGTGAAAACTCCAGCCAGGAATGTAATTAAACAGCGTTAAAATCGACACATGCACAGCCCTGCCGGACAGACTGGTCAGAGATCTCAGACCTTTTCTTTTGATCACCACTTAAAGATAAAATCAGTTTTATTTTAAGATTGCAAAATACTGTACTGTTACTGAAAATGATTTCAGACATACGTACGTATAAGTCAGTCCTGCTGTAACTATCTACAGCCCAGGCTGAGTTGCAGCAGATTTCAGATTACTTTCAGTTTCTTGATTATACTTCGTGGGTGAACCATAAAGGAAGTTGTTGAATTTGGATGAAAAATACAATATTTTCAACATCCTAGGATATCTTACACTGGAGAGCTCCATAGCTCCAGTATGAACAGGTACATTTCTTCTGGTTATGGTACAGTATGGCTATGTTCAGGAACAGGGGGCCAGGAGCTAATTCTATGCATACTGCAATGTGTCCTTTCTAGGCCTGGACTCTGTGCACAGGGGAAATGAATTTGCTGTGAGTCTGTCCTGCTGTAGTCAGTACTGTGTGCAAACCGCTCCACACTTAGAATCTGCTCTTGGCCTCCAGCTCCTGAACATAGCCATACTGTACCTCAACCAGAAGAAATGTACCAATTTATACTGGATCTGTTCTCCAGTGTATGCAAGAGTGCTCTACTTCCTTGACAGACACTTATGCTATGTGTTTACACGTTAAAGTGCATTTCTTAAAACAATCTGCTGACGCACACACTTGTTCAGGAGTGCATGTGCACTGGTGGTTGGGAAATGATGTTTGTAAGAGGATTTTAAGGCAGGGTTTCCAGATGTCAATACGTACAGATCATCATCTCTCTCCCTGCTCCACGCCGGCACAGCCTGCCTCTCCTCTCCACCGGAGAGTGACAGCTGGGCTTAATTACCGCGCTTTGCAGCCGCGCTCACAGGAGACCCGCAAAGCTCTCAAATCAGCAATTTTCCCTAATTCGCTACACATAAAAAAATAATAATAATGATACCAGTCGGCAACGAATCACGCTGCACGAGGACGCTCCTCTGCTTTCCAGAGCTTTCAGGGAGAGAGTGCAGGTCTCTCCCGGCCGGGGCTCAGGCTGGGAGCATCCTGTGCTTCCCTCTCTTGGGGGGAAAAAAATCCAGTTTTTTAATTAATCCACGCAGAATACCTGCCGCAACCCCCTCGAGCTGCACACTTCCTCTCCAAGGTTGCCCGGCTGAACGGCCGTACGCTCGCGCGAGACTTATGGCGGCTCAGCCAGCTCCGTTAATAAATCTCCAGGCCTGTTTGGCAGGATACTAATTAGTGCATTAGAGGGCATCTGATCATTCTGCCTAATTCGAAGTGCCGGTCTGCAGCGGGCGCCGATGGAAATGGGGGGGGGGGAGGGGGGCAGTGCAAGGGCGGGGCTCCTCCGCGCCCCCGCGCCCGCCCCCGCGCCCGACCTACCTTGCCGTCGAACTTGGAGTACTCGTTGAAAGGGTTGTTGAGCTGCTGCGGGCACTGCTCCAGCCGCAGGGACAGGGCCGACTGCTTCCCGCCACTCCGCGGCCTGTCCTTGAAATCCTTCCTCTCGAACAGGGAGCCCAGGTCTGGGACGGGAGGCGGGGGGACGGGCAGACGGGCGGGAGAGGGAAAAAAAAAAATCAGAATCAAATCAGAACACCACCACCACCACCGAGCAGCTGGGACCCAAGTCCTCATCGTGAAATCCACTCATGAAAAGGTGGCATCTATGCCAGATCAGTTTCTAAGAAAAATAAGAGCTGTGCGAATACTCTGCGCCCACACTTGTGAGGGAAACAAGACGACAGCGTGCAACGCCAGGCCTCTGAAGAGCAGCACAAGCCCACTGGCCTCACTGCTCCCCTTTTCTAACCCACAGAAGGTCTCGGCCAGCTGGACAAAGAGGAAATCCTCTTCGGGAGAGTCGGTCACCTTAAAACCACTCAATTACCTCATCGTCGCTGCACACTTTCATCAGCACTAACCATGGGTGAAGCTTCTGTTAATGCAAATATAGAGGGGCTCTTTTTTAACAGCTGAAAGGAGATGTTTTAATTATTTTGTAGGAGTGGATAAAAGACTGGAGACTTGTGACTGGCTGAACAAAACCTGTTTCCTAACTCCACTACCGAGCTCCCAGAAGGCAGACATAAAGTAAATGCCCTGCGGGGAAAAACAAAACTCACGTACCCGAGTGAGATGAGCTCCTTTCTTTCCACTGAACGTTTTTGCATTTGATCTGGTTCTGTCGTTCCTTCCTGAGCCTTTCAAGCCTCTGAGCTTTAAAGGAAATGAAAAGGTTCGAGTGAGAAAACGGCACCAGGCATCGCACTACACCCCAACGCCAGCTCATCGCAGGGACGCGTCCTGCTTGTCCGTCACATTGGGACTGCCGCTCCGGATAACAACAATGTGTCGGGAAGCGCGGGAAGGATCCGGACGCGCGATTCCAGATGGCCCGTCGGCCTCCCCTGCTTGACTCTATCAGGAGTCTCGGCACACCGAAGGACGCCAAGCCCCCCGACCGGGAGGCGCAGGGCAGCGAGGGAGGAGCAGGCTGGTCCGCGCCCGTGGACCAGAGCCCAGAAGCAGGACGCGCAGCAGCTCCACCTGAATAAAACAAGGACGTGCCTTCCTCCGGGGAATCAAGGCCGCGGTACAGAGCGCGGCCCTTCCGGAGGCAGGCTCGCCAGGGAGGGACTGCAGTCATCTCTGTGAGCGACTGCCGGAAAAAAAAAGTGTTCGCAAGCTCAGGGCCATCGTGCATCAGTTTCTACTGTTTGCATCTGATTTATAATCTACTACAACAGAAATAAAATCCACTGATGTTTCCCTTTAAAGATGTAACCAATTTAACATGCAATCCCAAACGCAGATTTCTGTACCAATGCTTATACATATATACCCTGTACACATACTTAGGGCACTATTTACAACAGCAGTGATCCACTTCCTGTACAGAGGCTCACGGTGTAAAATACACAGAAAATACCGTCCCCTATATACGTCTCGCTCTCTTTCCCCAATTTTAATATACATGTTTCTTTGTGAAGAGTAATTTATAATTCCCATTAAAGAATCATAAACCATTTTAAGATACCATAAAAACAATATTAACACGGGGGAGAATAATAAAATGCAAACCTCTCGGTGATGAATAGGAGTTTTGATGTATGAATCATTATTCATGTTCTTTGTGAAATGCTAATGTACAGGCGACCCAAATAGATTTCAACGTCCCGGGAAAAAAAAAAAAGTTATGGGACAACCACTCCTAAATAAAGGGAGGAAACACTAATCTTTCCCAGAGGGATCTCAGAGATAAGGAAAGACTTCAAGTACAAATATATCTATTTTAAAAATATCAAGGTCTAGATAATTCATGTAGATGTTCTTTTGTCCACAGAATATACTTCTATTTCCCTTATTTGACTATCTGAAAGAGAATCATTCATTCATTTTTTAACCTTTGCTATTAATCTGCAGTGACTTGGTCTGCTTTGGTCATTGTGCTGCGACAGTGTCAATGACCGCTAGAAATCAATACAATTTAATGTTCAAAATCAAAACGTACACCCTCACACTGACCGCAATCTCAGATACACGAAACCGTTTAGCCATCAACTAGCACACAAAAAAAAGTCTGCTTAGCCATGTGCCACGGTCTCCTGAAAAGACACACACACACACCAGCACTGTCCAGACGGACAGCTGCTGCACAGAGTCGCTGATGGCCGGCCTGTGCGCCGAGGACGATGGTGACTGACTGAGGACGCAGTTTCGCAACGGCAAGGCGCTGCTGTGCTGCACTTGCAGCAGTTTGCACTGGAGTCCTGAACCCTGTCCGCCGGCTTCTGCAAGCAAGGCGAGGTCAATACCTAGTAAAAAAAAAAACAGGCCACATCCCAGGAAGTGGTGGTGAGCCCTGCCCGCCTTCAGCTCTGCGATTCCCGAGAGGGGTGCCTCCCGCGCGGCGGGCGGAGCCGGTCACGCCCAGGGCCTGAACCCCCCCCCCCAAACCCGACGCGTTTGGCCGACGCCCATTTCTTTAACGGACCGGGGCTCTGCGTCCCTGAAGCGGCCTGGGCTCCCCCACTTTGCTGCTTCTTTGACATCGCACAGGGCTCCCCAGCGCACAAGGCAGGTTTGTGCCCTTTGACCTGGGGTGTTCATGTTAACCGGGAGCCCAAAAGCACACACCAATGAGAAGTGTGATTAATGGATGGCACTGCCAGATTACTTGATTTGATAAGGAGTACAACCTATCAGTAACATAATGCATCACAAATTGTTTTGTCAACAATTTATGGCACCATTTATCAAATGACCATCGTGCTTTGCTGAATTATGGTGTCATATCTGGCATTATGTCAATAGGACCTCTCCACAGCACCTGAGCCGAGGGTGAATCGCACACAGTGATTTAGGTGCGCACCGCGGTGACCTGTGCACGGAATACATTATTCATGCAACAGCCTTGTGGGGAAAATGTTATTGATTGGCAAAGAAGTTCTTTAAAAAATGGGAGTGTTTGGAAGGAAACAACGGAGGCAAACCAGAAACGCAATGTTTTGATCTGTTAACTGCTACCCCCTCACTCGTTTCCCTTCTAGATTACAAAAGGGGCCACATTGTTAAATGTTAAATGTATATACATATATAGACATACATCCATCCATATATAAGTATACATCCATCCTTCAAACCACTTTATCCTATCCTGGCCAAATTTCCCATTGGTCCTTACCAATCATGGCCTCCTAATATAATCCCCATCTATGAACTGGCTTCATAGCTCTGCTCTCCTCCCCACTGAGAGCTGGTGTGTGGTGAGTGTTCTAGCGCACTATGGCTGCCGTCGCATCATCCAGGTGGGGCTGCACACTGGTGGTGGTGGAGGGGAGTCCCCATTACCTGTAAAGCGCTTTGAGTG